TATTCAGAAGACCAGAATGACAGGCACTCCAAGCATGAACCTACTATTACGAATTGCCAACTTCAGTGCAGTTGCTTAGTTCACAGGTGTCAGTATATACACAGTTAGTCAGGGTGAGAATCTTTCCAATTAACTGCTAGATTCAAAAATCTTCTGGAGATTCTCAGAATCATTGCCTTGGCCATCTTCTACATATAACTGTATGGCTTGTCACTGTCATGTTTCCTAGCTCTTCTCCTTTCCCTCTCTTAATTAGTTAGCCCTCGAGTTTCTGCTTTCCTTCTACTTGTATTGTACCTTTCTATTTGTATTACAAGAAGAATGTTTTGAACTAATAGTGTTTAGACAAGATATCATGTCTACATCTTGTACTATGAATAACTGCTATGAAGACAATATGCAATGTATTAATTATTGTAACTGTTCTACTAACCTGTTTTGAAACTGTCTCATTGCTACTTCCTTCTCAATAAAATTAATATAAAAAGCAGCAACTTAATTTTGAATAGCCTAAATCCAAACAATATCCATATTTTATTTTGAAGGAAGTCTCCAGAAGCAGTAATGACCTTTCTGTGAATTAAAAGTCAGGAAAACGTTCTAACTTCCCTTGACCTTGACCTTGCTGAATGTTTCAAACAGCTGCTCGCACCATGCTGCTGAGGATTGAAATGGAAAAGCTTTTGCATTGTGGAGGACCTCAGCATTTTGCCTGAGAAACCTCAGCAGCTTTCCCTGGCGGTTGTGTGTGCCTGACTCTCTCTCAGCACTCTGAAGTTTCACCTCTGGTCAGTGGAAACTGATGTCAGTGAGCTAATTGGCTGTCCTTGTGCGTAGGTACCCTGACATGCCCACTGCTGCTGATGTTGTGAACGCCTTAGATCAACAGGCTCTTGCTTCCATCCTGAGAAGATATGGGGAAGAGAAGCACGCCAGGAAAATCGCATTAGCTATCATTCAGGCACGGGCCACATACCCGATCACCAGAACCCAGCAGCTTGCCAGCATCGTAGCAGGTACCTTTGTTAGTTCTGAGCACTCAGTGTCTGAAAGAAAAAAAAATTATCTATCTATCTATCTATCTATCTATCTGTCTGTCTGTCTGTCTGTCTGTCTGTCTGTCTGTCTCTCTGTCTGTCCATCTATCTCCCTTGACTCCCAGAGAGATTTATTTGTACCTGAAAACTGATGCAGAATAAAACCTTGCCTAACCTCCTCTAATGTCAAATTTCTTTTTGTTTTGCTGGCTTCTCTGACTCAACATCCCTTTCCCACACACAATTTTTAAAAAATGCGTCTCATAGTTTTCTAATGATTCTAATAATAGAATGTTCTTACCCGAGGTACCTACCAAGGTGAAAGGCGGAGCTCTGGCCCTCCACCATGGTAGGTGAACAGGCTGCATAAGGGTTGGCATCACCTCCTAGTTTTCAGATTTGTGCATTTTAATATTTTGGGCAAAAGGAGAATTGCATGGCCCAACTGCTAAAATAAAATCCCGTGAGTCATGCATCTGTTGTAAACAAGCAGCTCACCAGGGTGTGTGATGTATAGGCTAGCCACTTGGCGAACACTAACTAAACCCGCCGGAGGGGCTTAGGGCGGCATTTCATCTTCTCCGCTGCTCACCACTGTCAACCTCTTGAACTCTGGTCCAGCAAGGAGGCGCTTTATTGTAGTCTTTCTGTTTGTAGCCAGAGTTGTTTCACGGGTGTGTTCCATGATGAAAATTTCTAAGGGAAAAGTGGAACTCCTGCAGTTGTTTAATAGAATTTCAATGCTAATCTGTTCATCTTCTTGGGCTGTCTGAAGCTGTATCATTTGTGTAGCCAAAGAATGTGCTAAGGCTTCTTTTCATAGTTCCCATTAAGTCACCTAAATAAAGAAATAAAATTAAGGAATATTTGTGTAGCATTTACAGAAGAACCTGATGTTGCTAACCCATAGTTGAATGAATAAATATTATGTGTATTTAGGTCACTAAAAGAGTTCCTATAGAAGTTGTTTATGGTGACATTAGATGATGCTGTGTTCTTCTTGAGATCATCACATAGACAGAACTGAATGAGTCTTTCACTTTCTCAGCTGTGGCTCCACAGCCCTTCCCACTGAGCACTGCCATTCCTGTAATTCCTACGGATTGTGTGCATGTGAAACGTGACACGGTGTTGTTTCCCTGAAAGTTAGTTCTTTTGTGCCAGTATTACATTCACCTTTGACTGTAGGCACCTTTTCTCCTCCTCTTCCACATTCACTATCATGCCTACACCTTACCATTTTTGTCATTTTTTTTTAATAAGTAACTAGTTACATTGTTTTCTGTTTCCCACAGTAGGAAGATAAGCAGTGGGAGGTCACTTTTTATTCATAAAAATCTTACTTTTCTTGGTGCTGAAAATGAGGTGGCCACCAGCACCTGCTTGTCCAGCCTGCCCTGACTTATTCCCAAGGGAGCCAAGGTTTAGGGGGCCACGAGGTGCTTAGCAGAAACCTGAGGCAGAGTTGGGCATCAGCCTTTAAGCAACTAAGTAAACTTGGGGAAATAATGCCGTGATAGTACATAAAAATGTTGCAGATATACTGTAGGAACGCTTAGTTTCAGAAGCCATGTGAAAAGCATACTTGTGCTGTGACAACTGATACAGTAAATATGAGAGTATTCATACCTGGCTAAGTAAAACCCCATTTCAGTAAGTGGCATCAAAAACATTGGCTTATCTATGCTTCTATTTCCATGTCTTGAGTATAAACTCATAATAATGCAACTTTTTTTGATGATACAGTTTTTTTGATAAAGGAAAGCAGAGAATAATGTTTTCTCTTTGTGGTCATTTATGACACACACTTAGGGGGAGGGTGCTGGGTACGAGGCACTAAGCACTTGGAGCAGATTGGAAGCAAATCAGACTCAGCCTTGGTGTTTGCATGCTTTATAGATTAATAGATCATGACGTCCAGTCACTGAATAGAAGCAGGTTGCAGGGCTACTTACAGAAAAGTCTTTTGTTCTGTCCACAGTTACAATTCTCTGGGTGAAGGAAGGTCTGATAGAGTTAGAGACTTGTGCGACCGTCACAAATGCGTGCTGACGTTGTGTGCGCCTGGCTCGTACTGGCAGGTCTATGACGTCCTTTTGTATATATAAACTGTACCTACAGCCTTGACCTATGATCGCTGCTTACAACTTTATTAAAATGAATTAAGACTTTAAAGGTACTTGCAAAGCAGACTTGCCTCTACCTGTAAGTTCCAAAGTTTCCAAATTATTCTTCCCAGAAACAACAGCTTTTTTCCTATGTGTAATGGTTAAATTATATTGTGACAGTGCTCTTGCTGGGGTCTGCAAGCACTCAGCACTTCAGATGGGGCGGGACTGCACATTCACCAGGTGGAGCACTCCCTGCCCCGCCCTGGATGGCTCTGCTGCAGGACAAGGGCAGGCTTGCCAGCCACGCCACAGGGAAATGATCCCTGGGCTAGTTCCGGGGCATGCCATTAAAAGTGCCTCCAACTTGGTGGTTCACGCAGCAGAAACATTTTTTAGCTGTGGTGGCTTGAAGTCTGACATCAAGATGTCAGCAGGGCTCTAGAGGGGAAGCCCGGTTCCTGCCCACAATCTGTGTCACTCCTTGGCTTATAGGTATCACCGTCTCTGCCTCCAAGGTCATGCAGTATTCTCATCGTGCCTCTCTTTGGGTCCTAATTTCCTCCTCCTTCTCCTCCTCCTCCACTGCCGCCTCCTAAGAGCACTACTGGTAAGGGATCCGTCTGGTATGCCCTCATCTGAACTACAGGACACACATGAAGACCCCTGTTTACATGTCAGGGTGCAGTTCCAGGCCTGGGTAGGCATGAGTTACTGGGCAGAGCCTTCATGAGGTTTGGATTCAGTTCTATAGCATTACTGATTGATGCAGTAGGATTCCCACACTGTATCATTATTTAATAGCATGTGTTTGTGCAAGCTGTACTAAGTCGGGACAGTATTTATGTGTTTTCTCTGGCTCTAATAAATTCATATAAATGTGTTCAAGACTATCACAAACTATACCACAGTTCCTGGCATATATTTAAACTCAGATAGATAGACAGACAAGACCAACCGACCGACTGACTGACCGACCAACTGATTTATCTTCCCTTGCTTTTGAAAAACTGATCATCCAGTAGCATGAAGAAGACCAGCCACCAACTTGGAATCATAATATCCTCGGTGAAACTCTAAGCTGCATGATTATGCTGTAATATGTAAACCCTAAAGCCTAGTGCAGTCTTTGCAGATGCCTTGGTCACCCACCCTCCAGCTTTGCTGTGCTCTTTCTGAGCGTGGGCCTTGCTGCCCTTTGCTCTGACTTCTCACAGCTCACCCTTCAGCCCTTGTGTGCAATGTGGCTTCCTCTAGGCCGATACCCATGAGTTGGGTTGCCTTCCCGGGTGCTGCACGGGTACTCTACGGAGTGCCTTCCGCCGCTGCATCTCCTGCTGTGCTCTCCTGCCGGCTTCCTTCCTTCCTTCCGCCTGGCTTTTCCCAGTCCTGATCCTCAGCCACAGACCAGTGCTCTGCATCTGCCTCTGAAATGTGACTGCTTGAGCTCAAGAAGAGTCAGTCATGAATGTCAACTGCACTCCAGATTTTCAGTGCTTTGTTTTTAAGCAATTTTAAATATATCTGCAATTTGTACCTTCGTTCTACTTTGAAATGTAGTGCTATATGTATATAGTCATCGCAGCATTAACACTAACTTGACCTATTTGTAAAACGTGGCTCTCTGCAAACACTTCACAGGAGACCTCCTGGTCACAGGTGGGACTGTCTTCCTAGCCAGCACGCTCCTACTACGCACCGCGAGCACCCTGGGACTTTCCTTTTCAGCACAGGCCTCAAGTGCCAGGTCTGGCGTTTGCTACCTCAGCAGTTAGGGAAACACATTGAACAGGAAGGCTCTGCTTCCCTAAGGCCTGCATTCAGATGCAAGCATCAGTGTACTGCACCATGATGTTTATCACACGGGTCATAAAAACAAATCTGCCTCATACAGATCTGCCTAATGCTGTCAGCACTAACATACGCTGAAAAATCAGAGAAGCACCCAGTCTTGCAGTCTTTTTATTTACTCACCTGTACATTGCAGTGATATCTGTTCCCATTGTATTATTTAGGAATGCTGCAAAGAAAAATAGCAGTCTGATAAATTATTTTTATTACAAAACCTTTAATAATTGCAAATGGTACATGCGAAACTTCTCAGACTGTTTAGGAAAAAGCAGACTTATACATTTGCTTTAGACAAAAAGCCTATGGTCTAGATTTTACAGAATAATATATACTTGATTTGTGTAGTCTTTAAAATCATAGATCTGAGACAACCCTTGAGTAAAAGTCTGAGGACCTTCCTCAAAGGCTAGCTGCAGCCCTGCCCTATTCTGGTGTCATTCCATTATTTGTGTGTGTGTGTGTGTGTGTGTGTGTGTGTGTGTGTGTGTGTGTGTGTGCAGGGTCTCACTACGCAGTTCGGACTCATAGTGAATCTCCTAATTTTGGCCTCCCCAGTGCTAGGATTACAGGCGTGCACCCCCACGCCTGTACTCCATCACTGGCTCAGCGCGCCCAGGAGCGGGGCTGGCATGGCATGCGTTGCCAGGCGTTGAAGTGTCTGCTGCATTCTGATAATTGCTGCTGTACTTTAATGAAAAGCTCTTAGTGCTAATCCTGATTATACAGCTTGCTTTTTGAAAAAAAAGAACAGTTCTAGACCCCACCTTTCTTATTTTGAAATGGAGGTGAATAATAGTTATAATAATAATTACTATTATGCTGTTGAGCAAGCATAGCTATTCTAATTATATTTTGCTTAAACTAATACTGAAATTCATGTGCAGCCTCCGAACTTATGCAAAACTCAAAGCAGCACACCTGTCACTTTTCAGATCAGTAAGATTCATATCAGCTTCACAGATTAGATAATTGATCCATCAGTAGTCACTCGTAATATTACCTGAGTGGCAGAAAAGAGAC